CCGCCTACGCGGGCGCGGCCGGGCTGGACGCGGAGCAGCGCGCCGAGCTGCGGGCCGAGCTGCGCGAGCGCTTCACGTCCGGCGCGCGCACTGTCGGTCCCAACTCGGTGTCGGGGCTCGCGGCGCTGGCCAACGAGCGTATCGAGGACGCCATCGCGCGGGGCCAGTTCCGCGACATACCCCGGGGCAAAGACGCGGCGCCCCGCGACGCGCGCGCCGACAACCCCTTCGTCGACACGACCGAGTACATCATGAACAATATGATCCGCCGCCAGGACATGGTGCCCCCTTGGATCGAGAAGCAGCAGGAGCTGGCCAAGGCGCTGCACGTCTTCCGCGCCCGCCTGCGCAGCGACTGGACGAGGCACGCGGCAAGGTCCATCGCGGGCATGGGCGGGTCGCTAGAGAGGCAGGTCGCGAGGGCCGAGGGGTACGCGGCCGCCGAGGTGCGGTGGAATCCCCGGCGCGGGAAGGTGGGCAAGGAGGCGGCGGCGGCGGCGGCGGTGGCATCGGCGAGCAAGGCTAAGGATCCGGCCATGGCCAAGATGCGCAAGGAGCTGGGCGACGAGGCCGTGCAGGAGGCCCTGGGGGAAGGCCCCACTGTCGGAACCGTGGGTTCGGAGGATGGCAAGGCGGAGCAGGAGCCCGCGGCGGCCTGGACAGCGCCGCACCCCTTCCGGGACCCGGCCTGGGAGGCGGCGGAGAAGGCATACCAGGAGCTCGCGGTGGGCAACCTCAACAGCATCACGCGCTCCTACAACCTCATGGCGCCGGACCTGGCCAAGAAGCCCTACTTCACGCTGCGGCGCGAGCTCGACGCCTGCTTTGCCGACGTCGCGCCGCGGCTGGCCGACACGATCAGGGAGCGCGCGAGGCACCTGCAAAGGCCGCTCCTGGACGGCGGCTCGGGCGGTTCCCAGAGGGGCGTCCTGGCCAGGCTCGGCGGGGAGGAGTGGGAGAGCAAGGCCAAGGTCTACGACTCCAAGTCGCCGCACTACGGGTTTAAGGAGATGTGGCGGGACCTGTTCGCCAGGTGGAGCTGAGATTCTGTCTTTCCGTTGCGAATATCTCTAGCCTAACAGTCCCTGGAACACCCTACTAATCGGCCTTAATCTACCATCACAACATAATACTGATATCCTGTACAACGCCGTTTCCAACAAACATGTCCTGTCAATCTTCCATCCCATCCAACATATGACCGAACCGCAGCATGGCGGGAGGAAAGAACATATGCTTAGGCATGCGCCGTCACTCTCCACTCCCAATGCCAAACTCCCTTTCGTAAAATTGTCTCGCCTGCTTGTTGGCGAAAGCCCCCGTGCTCAGGGCTTCGGAGTTGCCCTCGACCACGAGCCCCCCCAGCGACCTGGCCCGGGACAGCGCAACATACAGCTGGCCCTCTTCGAAAACCCTATCCATGTTGACGATTACGTTTTCCAGTGTCATGCCCTGGGCCTTGTGAACCGTCATGGCCCACGCCGGCATCAGAGGGATCTGCGTGCGGCTGAGGAGCACCTCGCTTGGGCGGCTGTGGGGGCCCCTCTCGATGATGGTGCGGTCCGCGACGATTGTCCGCCTGAGCTTCGGCTCGCCCTTGATCTTGTTCTCGAACTCGACCACGGGCCACCATTCCTTCTCCAGCCCTTCGATAAAGCGGTCGATCTTGGATTCGCGCCGCTTGGCTCCCGTGTTCTCGCCTGTGATTATTTCGAAGCCGCAGATGACGCCTTGGCTGCCGTTGACCAGACCCGCATCGATGTCGAGGTTGGCGAGGAGACAGACGCGCATTCCTTCCCTTAGGAAGAGCTTTTTGTCATATCTGTGCTCCCGGAACTCGTACAAAGTTTCGTGTTCTAGGTCCTCCGCCTTCACTTCCTTCCTTTCCAGATGGAGGAGGCGCTGATGGCGCCGAGATTTTGGGTTGAGGCCGACGATATCGTCAACACATCTGTACATGAACTGCTCTGTGTCTAGGCGGTCGTACTCGCGCTTGTTGATGGCGTCCACCTCCTTGTTTGTGCAGGAGAGCTTCACGGCGTTCTCGGCGCAGCTGGTATTACGTTTCAAAAGTTCCACCTCTTCCTGGCTCATAGGGCTCCCTAGCCTGCATTTCGCAAGAAGACTGAGAAATCCGGGGTCGCTCTGGCGGTGCACATTCTTCAATTGCACGCAGGAGAAATCGCACTCCGCCCATGTGGTGCTCCGAAAGGCCCATTTATCAGCCCGGGAGTAGGCGCGAGGATTCGGGCAGCGCGGTTGGTTTGATGGCGGAGAGCTGTCGTCCGAGTCGTCCGAGTCGTTGGGGCAGGTGAGCACGTCGTGCTTCTTGTGCCATAGGAGGTCCCTTCCGCACTCCATGCAGTACTTGAATGGCTTAACTGGGGGGAGCTGAAGGAAGTCGCCAGTGACAACTACCTGCACACCGCCAAATGGGTCGCTGGACTCGCGTACGGACTTCATAACCTCGCTCATGCGATAGAAGAAGTTGCTGTCCAACATGCTGATCTCGTCTATCACTAAGACCTCTGTCCCCTGCAGCCGCTCCCTCGCGTAATTGTCGCTTCCAGTTATTTCTTTTAGCTCGTCGAGTGGTTTCCGGTCGTCGTCAGGTTTCCAACCCATGTAGCTCCACGTCGTGGTCCCCCCCACATTCAGAGCAGCGATACCTGTTGGGGCGACGATATCGACAATTTTGTGTCTTATTTCTAGTTCTCCGACAAAGGTCTTTAGCACAGCTGACTTGCCGCAGCCCGCTGGCCCTGTGTAGAAGACATTTCGGCCGCCAAGCACTAGTTCAACTAGCCTGGACTGTTCGCGGTTGAGAGTCACCCCGTCGTGCGTTATATAAAGCCTCACTCCGTTTTGCATTATATAGCGGGGGGTCTTCTGGTATGTTGGGTCTGGGTCATCATTATGGATGTCATCGAGGTGCGAAATCGCCAGCTGTGCCAGCTCATCAGCGGTAGTGATCACTTCCTTTAGCAGGGTGACGATCGATCCCGAGGGGTCTAGCGGCGTGTCGCCGTCCATGGTAGTGTCTGATGAATCTTCTGACCCGGGGCAGGGAACGCCAAGCTCTGCCCATATCGGGTCATCGGCAGAAAGGTCGAGGTTGAAAGAGCCAGGCATTTGCGCGACACCAGGCACGTGACGGCTCTTGGGACGGTGCACCAGCGACTCTGCAGCCAGCAAAGGCCCAGCCAAGGGATGGGCTTCGTCCGCGGCGTCTCTGGCGGATAGGGCCGCCCGGCGAGACAGAAGCTTTGCGCCAGCGAGGCCCCGTTGGTGATGTGGATTGCGTTCCACTTCATAGTAGGGTGGCTCCAAGGGTGTTGTGTCCGACGGCGGGTCGCGTCCGCCCGGCGGCGACGAGCTCGCGGATCTGGAATGATGCAGATGCGCCATCTGGCTTCTTTTGGCACGGGTGCTGTTTAACCCCTCGCCATGTGTGTCGTTATCTCGAGGGCGCGCCTTCCATCGCCCTGGACCAGAGCTGAAAAACGCGTGACGCGGGGCTGTGGTGGGGCCGTGCGCTGGCCAGCCCCCAACCCAACCAAGGACAATCTTCGTCCCGACTTTTCCTGGGCGCAAGGGAAAGGGCATGGTGCCGGGAAGTTTGCATGGCTCCCAAATCGGGGCAGGCTAGATCGATGATGGATGGATGTGGAGGGCGAGGAAAGACAAGGCGATGAAAGAGAGGACAAGACGGGCCCCCAGACCCCCCACCTTGAATCATGGCGTGCCCCCACCCTGATATGCCCAAGGAAAGAAAGGGCGACCAGCACCAATATCAAGCTTCTTGCCCAAATGGACCTGAGGCCGTTTTTGTAAAATCTCACGCAGAAACTCGGTGGAAATGGCAGCTGGACCAAAGTTACTATTGTTTACAGCCGACGGACAAACTCAAGCGACACAATGTATTTTTTGGCAAGAATGGCAATTTAAGTGACAACCCAGCAGGTAAAATGCGTCGTAAAATATTTGCAGAGAATCGAAGACAAAACAAAGTTATATACAAACTTTCCTCCCAGATGCCCAAGCCCCTGAGTGGGCCACCTTTTGTACACGACCACCCAGCTCGAACGCACCATCCCGAGAGACTCTCGCGGATCACCAGCCATCACCTCCCACTACCATGGTCGACACGCTTAACGCTGCAGGGTAAGCAGGCCGGGGCGGTAGGGGAGGCGGATGTACTCGCCGCCCGAGTTGGGGGCGCGGCCCTGGTACAGGAACTGCAGGTTGCAGAGGTCGATGGTCATCTTCTCGTCCGGGTCGGAGCGGATCAGCTCGCCGTGGCTGATGTCGTTGGTCCACGTGGCGCCGCTGTTGGCCTTGCCGGCGAAGGGCTTCGACTCGGACGCGGCGTTGGCGGTCCAGGAGCCGCCCAGGCTCGAGGCGGTGAAGGAGCGGAAGTAGCGGCCCTGCCCGCCGATGGCCTCGACGATCATGAGGTAGCGCTGGTTGCCCGAGCCGCCGGCGATGGTGTAGACCTGCACGGCCTCGAACAGGTCGTTGGTCGAGCCCGACATGACCACGGTCGAGCCCGAGCCGAAGTTGCCGGGGAAGTTGGCGTACGGCATCTGCGCCCGGTAGATCTTACCGTTGTCACCCGCGAAGAAGAGGTACATGTTTGTGCCGTCGCCGATGACGGCCTGGTCGATGGGGCCCGTGCCGGACCCGGAGATGCTGCCGGTGAAGAGCGGCTGCACGCCCGACCAGCCGTTGACGTTGGTCGGGTTGCTCGAGGTGCGGTAAGAGAAGGCCGTGGGCCCCCACTGGTAGGCCAGCACCCAGATGTTCTTGGGCCGGAAGAGGAAGAGCGAGGGCGCAACGGTGCCGCTGGGCATGCGCGTCTGCGTCACGCTGTTCATCTGGTTCCAGTTGCTAAAGGTGCCGAGCATGACCGAGCCCCAGCCGCTGCCACCCGTGGTGGCGTAGACGAGGTTCTGCCCGTTGTACGTGGCGTGCGTGAAGTCCTTGAGCGAGGCCGCCCCGTTCTTGGGGTCCGCGAGCGAGCCCGTCGAGGTCCAGCGGTAGGTCGACGGGAGCGAGCACTGCGCGGCCGCCGAGGCCGTGAGCGCGAGGAGCGCGGCGCCTGTCTCGAAGAACCTCATGATGTCGGAGTAGAGGGGTGGACTTTCTGTTTCTTGCTCAGCTGAACACTGGAGTTGAGTGTGCAGAGACTGGGGCGGGCTGGGGGATGGCTGGCCGTGCTCGAAAAGAAAAAACAAATCCATTGAGGGACCGCGGCGCCCCCGGACTTATATACCTCGCCGTGGCTTCTAATTCCACGGTGACATGGCAGCAGCGGCTGTATAGTACACCCCAGCGCTTGGTTGTTTGACCCACCGATCTTGGGCCCTTGTCAACCGAATGCTGGGGTACATCAGATAGCCCGCCACACTATCGCCCCATCCATCTACCGTCAACAGGCACATTCCTGCGATGGCGATGTCTGCCTGGGCCCAAAAAGGCAGTGGTCCGCTAGCTATCCAATGAGGGTCCATCCATGCGTCTCTCATCGCTGGCCGCAATTCTTCCGTCCAATCGCGGAGCCGAGACGTCTTACGGAATAACTGGGATGCCCCCGATGCCTCCTCCCCTCCTGCTTGCGGCTCCCGCCCTCACCCCCTCCTTGGGCGGATCAAGTTTCTCCAGAGCGCGGGGGGCGGGGGAGCAACTACCGGGACCCTGGGGTTACCGGCTGTCGTCCCCATCGAGGTCGTCCGCCCCGCCGGGAATGTTACCCAAAACCAGGTCCGCCACTATTAGGCGTAGAAATCAGCGTTGCCCCCTGGGGACTTCGTTCCCACCTTTTGCGCTTGTCCTCTTGCCTTTTCCCTCCATCGGCCTGCCACCAACGAGCAGGCAGTTAGCCGCCGGGGGTGGGTGGGTGTGCTCCTCTTTCTCCGGTCTGCCGTGTCACCTCGACAGGCCGCGGAGGGTCATCTGCCGAGCGCTTAACCCAACACCGCCTAGTCTTGCTGGCGTCTGTCCACCAATTCGCTGGTTTTGAAACAGCCCACCGCACCAAGCCAGCGATTTTCCGGGGGCCCACAGACGCCTTGCTGCGGGGGGGCCGACGCCGACTCCTGTAGAAAAAAGCAACACCTTCTTCCTGTGTTGCGAGTGGACGATGGTTGACCATCTTTGCACCGCCCAGAAGCTGAGAGTGCCAGGGCACACCAGCCATTGCTTACTCCTGCGCTGTCCTGCCCGATCTCCCGCCTGCCCCTGAACCGAGGCGCCTCGTGGCGACGGAAGATCTGTCCACGACCTCTGATGCATGGACTGATGCCCAGATTATGGACTGATGCCCAGATCATGGACTGATGCGCAGATTAGGCACCTTGGGTCGAGGGCAGGGTCGCATCACCTTGTCGATGGTCGCCTCGTGAACTACCCACCACCAGCTCATTGGCCGCTCCGCTTAACCACTGGGGGAATCAGCTAAGAACGTAGGAGTTTGTCGTTGCATCCCGTCCATGTGTCTGGAGTGGACCATCCGACGACAGTTTGGGAAGAATTACGGAATACCCAGGAGAGCGCTGATTGTAGAAGGATGGAGATATGTGTGCAAGAGCGTGAGCAGAGCATCGGCGGCCCCCTCCTGACACCATGAACTTTGCCGCCTGGGCATGGGATAATTGTGGAAGGGTCCTACCTAGTTTAGCCAGGTGCGGCATTGGAGTTTGCACGTCTTATGCGGCGCCGTTATTGTCCGAAGAAGCACACCCTCGAGACCTGGTGGCGGATAACTTCGGTCATTACAAGACCGAGATCAGTGTACCTATAGAGGCGCTTCCAGCTACGGGGGAGCCGGCCTCTTAAACTGGCACTGGGGCGAATATGCCGATCGGGGGTCTGTTGTTATATTGGAACATTGTAGGCCATGGGGCTACCAAATATTGGAACCTGAGCGCGTCCCACCCTTCTTGTCCAGTTATACAGGTTATGGTCTTCGTGAGGATCGTTCTGGTAGTTTCGTCTCGTTAGCTGCGTTTCGGGCAGGAAAAAGGAACGTCAAGTGGTCGACGTTCCGGGCCAAGTATTCCTGAAGTCTACAATGGTTTTGTAAAGCTCTACATCGCTAGTTTCGCACCAGTGGGAGTCCAAGAGGGACGGGAGCTCCCCCTTGGGGACCCCTGCTATGTCGAGAAACGTTGGCGCAAGGTCCAGACGAGAGCCGACAAGCGTCGACTCCACACCCTGGGGAACCCCAGGGCCTCTGACGACAAAAGGGAGATTGGTGTCCTCGGTAAAAGGCGTCGTTTTGCCGACAGCCATCCTGTGCTGGCCCAGGTGGTACTCGTTGTCGGACGTGAAAACAATTGCGCAGTACGCACGTTAGACGATGGCAGCGGTACGGCAAAGGAGTGGCGGCGCTTACTGTAGGTGTTGTCCAGGGCTCCTTTCTCCTCCAGCTTGCCAAGGACGTCGCTGACCAGCTTATCAACCCCGGCCAGGGCCTGGGCTCGCCGACGATATTCTGCATCGGCCCAGTCCATCTCGGCGTCTCCCATCCTGCTCAGCTCTCGGATCCACCAGACTTGATTCCGCTGAACGTTGTCGGGCGGGCTGAAAGACGGCGTTCTCGGCACCGTGGCGTTAGTGAACAGCTTCTCGTGGCAAGTGCACGGCACCGTGATTTCCGTGCTGTCATCTAAATAAAGCGCCGTTGGCGAGATGAACAGGAAGAAGGGGTCCGACTGAGCAGTCAGCTGCTCCAGGCGATCAAGGCTAGAGGGTCCAAGTTAGCGCTGGCCTGGAAGCACTCGGGTTGGGCATGGTTCTCGTCGTAAACACCTACGCCTTGGCCCGGGTGACATCTGCCTGGTGGTAACCCTTAAAGAACACGGGCGTGCTGCCATACTCGGCCATGAAAACCGAGTTGGGAGTAGTCTGGTACGGCTCGAGCTGCACGGAATTAGATATTGACGGACCGCAAACCCGCCCAACTATAGGCTGCAACCTACCAAGTCGTCGACGTGATCCCAACCTTTGGGAGGTGACGCCCAATTCAACAGGTTGACGCCGTTAGAAACTTGTCCAGATCTGTCACCACGTCAGCAGGAATCCAAAAGCACCAAAAAATAAACTGTGGCTGCCCGAAATTTGCAAATTGGACTCGCACTCGACTCGATACCCAGCCTTCTTCACCTAATGCGGCAGGTAGCTGCTGCCCTCGCCAGAAAGGGTAAACTTCTCATAGTTGCCGCTGTCGAAGAAACGCCGAGTCGGCTGCATGGACGCTCGTCGAGGCAGACACGCATTTCTCCAGCAATAAAACCTACCCAGGAGCAAAAACGTTGGTAGCGTTGGTGTTGTGAGCCGCCTGCCCGCGGAGTAAAGTGACTCTGCTGAGACAGCACTACGCCAAGGTGGTGTGGTGGTTCACAAAGCTGCTTCCCTTGGCCACGAGCTCTGACTGGACGGTTTCCATAAACCGCATGGACCCCAGCCGAGCGTCCTGGTCGTCGCTCATGATGAGGACGATGTTGGGTCTGGCTGCGACAGGGAGGCTCTGCAGGCTGAGCACGAGCATCGCCCCCTGCACCAGCCTCTGCCGCAACAGCCATGGAAGTGCTTGCGATTTTCGATCCGACCGAAACGATCTGGCGAGGGGGAACAGAGGGCGTGAAAGTCGGTGGGGTCTGGGCGCGGTGGGCGTCATGAGTACCCGTTATCGGGCCTTGCCGCCTCGACCGGAGATCCAAGATCGAATGCAACAAGGTTGCACGGGTTAAGCATTGAAAACCCCTCAGCAGTCTTTCGTGGAGCCGCAATGCCAAGGAAATTGGTACATACATCATGTGTGCTAACTGAGCTATCAGCAACCTCTGTCTACTATCCTCCCCTTTCCCCCGTGTCATCTTGTGGTGGCGGAGGCGCCGTCGACAGCAAAAATGGAGGGGGTCCGGCGAACAAATGGCCAGACTTGTCAGGACTGCGGGGCCCCTTGCCAGGGTGGCACGCTTCGTCAAATTAGGAGCAGGAAGCCGACGTGACTCTAGGAAGAGGTAGGGGCCCAAAGCAGGTGCAGTTGCCCCCGGAAGCTATTCGACCGGCTGCTTTCGACTAACACGGATGGAGAAGGCTGTGGGTTGGCTGATGTGGTTCAGCGGTGAAACGGCCTGACTCGACTAACAGGATACCCGATTTATAGGATACCATCAGACAGATGTAGCTGCACCAACGGATGGTATAGCACCAAGTTAAAGCACTTCCCTTCAGATTAGTTTAAACGCAAAGCAGAGCCCTTCCATAGGCTAAGTAGTGTATTAAAGGCTACTGCGCTAACAGTGATTTGCTTCCAAACTATTACATGTGCTGTTATGCGGTATTGATTATGGGTTCCTCGTTGGAGTCGCTGAAACAAGTTTACCAAAGGAGGCCGCTCTGCCTGTACAAGATACTCCTCTTTCTCTTCCTCCTCCCTCAGTAACATGACAGGTTGCACCGCCGCAGTTGGTATGTCGTGGTGGCTAAAACGTGACTTGGCACACCGCCCTCGGGTGATTTAGCACATGGGCACGCCGACGAAGTGCAGGAACCCGTCGATCCCGGTCAGGCCGCAGCTCGCGCTGCAGGGCCCCCTGTGGGCGTTTGCGTCGTCCGGGTTGTAGGGGTAGGTGTCGCCCGTGTAGACGCGGCTGTCGATCTCGAGCCCGATCTGGCAGCCGGGCGCGGCCGTTGGCCCGTGGCCGATGGGGACGAGGTTGCCGTTGCGCTCGCAGAGGCGCACGCCGACAGGCAGCCGGTCGCAGATGTTGTTCATGGTCCGGTCGCCGTACGTGGTCGTCCGGCCGTCGGTGCAGGGCGAGCCGGCGGCGAAGACGACGACGTTGGACCGGGGCCACCCGACTGTCTTGTAGGTGCCCGCGAGGCAGATGTTGCCGGCCTCGGCGGCGCCGGCGAGGAGGGTCGCGAGGACGAGGGTGGCCTTCATTATGGATCGGTGCTGAGGGATGGACTTGCGGGAGGAGAGCGTGCAGTGATGGAGCTGTGAGTTGGCTGTGCGCTGATCTCTGGTCGGAGCGCGATGGCGAGTTAGGCAATTCCTCAAAGTAAGGCTCGCAGCCTTGTTTTTATAGCTGCGGACGGGAACCCTTCGACCGTGATCAATAACAAACGGATAGACCGAGGCCAGACATGTGGATAGGCCAACTGTCATCTACAAAGTAAAGCCAGCCATCTGGATAGGCTGACCATACAGACCTGGCGAGATGTATGGATACTGGAACCAAAAAACTATCGGATGCCAGCCGAGGCCAGCGGTGAGGCGATCGACAACTTGTACGGAAAACTCCACGAAGATCAGAACCGACCAATCGAACGCGAGAAGAAAAAAAATATCGTATGAAATCCTGAAGGCGCGCACGGGGACCGAGACAGTGGAGGCTGCCAACCCCGATATCTGGATCAAAACAAACGGAAGAGCATTTTGCGACTTTGCTGATAGCCGCCTGCGACAGAACATGGCTCGCTCATGCTCGCACAGCGTTTTGCGAGCGAAGGGATTGTGGGGCGCGAGCAGAACTGGTGTTACTTGTAGCCCTGCTCGAATTGGACGTGGGCATGTGATACGAGGCTGGATACCGAGCCGAGAAATCCAGAGAGTGTAAATTCGAGGAAGCCTACTTGGCGTAATTGTCGCCGACGCTTTATACCAGACACGCACGTTAAAGCGATTACATGGACAGATGGTGGGAATGGACTGTTTTCAGTCAAGTGTGTGGCGGAGAGCATCCGGATCTAGGAATACGTCACACGCTATTCCTTGTGAATTGTCACAGCTACACCCTGCAGAACCACACCTCACGAGCTGCTTCCGCGTGATGAATGACATGACTTGAGAGTAGGAGAGTTATCCCGCTAGTCCCCTATCGTAATGTTTGGCCGCCTCCAGGTCTCCGGCATTGCTATCGATTTAGAAAACAACACAGCACTTTCCTCCCGCCATGCCCGAGGCAGGGCAGTATAACTCCCAGCGGCTATGTGCCTGTCGAATACTCGCGTGGGCATCAGACTGCCGCGGATATCCCTTCGGTACAGGCCAGGACAAGATCGCGGGCGTGGGGGGCCACTGATGGCCATCAGGACTCCGCTCCTTGGTCAGGACCCGAGTGTGCCGGTTGATGCCAGGGCCTCAAAAATGAGGCCGTCCCGAAAGCAGAATGCCTAAGCGCCCGGCCGCGGCCTCAGCTAGCGGCGGATCGCGGCCGAGGTGGCCCGGGCCGGGAAAATTATTCCGTGCCCTTGCCTTGGCCTGTGGTCGCAAAAGGCAGTACCACCGGAAAGAGGGGGAGGGATAAGAAGGGCGACCTCTAGTCGCGTTGGATGCTTTTTACTTTGGGTAGGTTCGTCGGGTGGGGGTGTCTGTAGCACGCATATCCGATTCGAAGTTGGGCTGATGCTGGCACGTATTGCAGCGGTAGCGAGGACGACGTCCCTGCGGAGCACACGCAACACATGGCGGCTGGCCTGTGTCAAAACGGCCGTGAGGCGCGCCCTCGTTTGGGAGCGCAAGGTGGGCACAGGCACCCCGGAACATGGCGTATGTCCTGTCGTTTGATCTGCACCTGGGCTTGGCTGGATACACACATGGTATCATATCGATATCACTTGTCGCTAGGCTAGGTCGAAGGGTGCCTCGAATTCCTGGAGTCCAGGTGATCGGGGCCCTAGGCGACAGAAGTCTGCCGGCGCTGCTGCTCTTCGTCCAACCGGAAGTGGGGGTCCGTGCTCTCCCATCGCGACACCGCCGGAAGAGTCTGCTCTCCGTGTTCCTCAGCAGCTCTGCTGCCTGCCCTGGTGGAGCCCCCATAGCTGGCCGCGTGCACCCTGCCCAGTTCCATATCATCGGACACGGTGAGAACTTGGGTGCTGTCGCTGCCCACGGAAAAGGGGTCCATGGGGCGCGGAGGCTTTTGTGCCGGACTTATCCCTGGCGGTGGCTTTGGTTCGCCCCGGGCAAGCCACCGCCATCGACTGAACAATGGTCTGAGCGTAACGATGCACGAGCAGGCAATGCCGACGTTTATCTCGATGACGCCGTATAAACCGCTAGGGACACTATCCCATGTTTTGTCTGTTGAGGTTGTAGACCGCTGGATCACCAGCAGACGCAGGACGGACACGATACTCGCCCTAAGGAGAGGATTCGTTAGCTACCGGCTCCAACAATCCGATATACACCAAAACAAAGGGTATTGACTCACATTGCTCCAAGAGCCAAAACGAAGCCGAGAAGTATTCGTTGCGGCCAGGGGATTGTTAGGTGCCGAAGGATAAAAAAGGGACCGATTAGGATGGCAAAGTCCATAACGATGAAGTATATCTGAGTTGCCGTCATTGAAAGGGTAACGTTGACGCAGACGGCTCCGGGGACGTTTGGCGTCCATATGGCGTAAAAGGGTCTGCAGATGACAAGACTAGTTACGAAGAAGGAAAGAAACCCGCAGACTAGGATGGCAGCAAGAGCATAGCATAAACGCTTCTCGAAATTCATGACACTGATTCGCATGTACTGGAACACGATGGACAGCTTGAGGAGGAAGTGCGCTGCGCTGTAGCTGATGTACACGTAGGGGGTAAACTGCCGAGAGCGCGCCATCAGTTGCTGCGTCGTGGGCATCGCACGAGAGTGTTCGGCTAGAAAGGGATATATGTACCTTGCGAATACGCATCCACTCCTGGGAGCTGACTGTTTCGAAATGTCTTCCAGCGCCATTGGAGAAGGCTAAGGGATGTTAGTTAGCACGAGAGACGAAAGCAGAGTGAACCGAACACCATCAGCCCGAGGCATGTCATGCAGCTTACCTATCACAAGGAAGACAGATAGGATGATGGAGAAGACCTGTAAATGTTGATTAGCAATAGGCTCTGGCCGGAGTCGTAGGTTTCGGGATCAACGACACGCACCATGGCCCCGACGATGGCGTAGTCTTCGACGAAGATCTTCTTGACGAGATAGACCGCTCTTGTGTATATGCGGAGGGCGACAAGCAAGAGCACGATGGAGGGGCATATGATGGTGATGGGGACGCCATCGGTGGCTCGGTCTTCGTTCCAGCGGTAGGCCAAGGCGTCGGTCGAGTTGGACATGGGGGGCAAGCGGCGGGCGTGTGGAGAGCTTTGGATCCGAGCGGCCGGATGTCGTATTGCATCGCGCAGCGATGGGGCAGGCGGAGGGCAGTTTATACTCTGCTAGAAGCGCTGGTCCTGGGCTGCCGCGGCCAGTTTCTTTCAAGGGTGCTCCCGAGGCGGAAATTGGTAGCGAGACGCTACGAGGGGAAGCGGGTGGTCCCAGATTCCGGGGACGAGGAGAAGTGGGATGGGGTGAGAGCAGATTTTAAGGTCGCCGGGCACGGTTTACTAGTAGGCATTCAAGCTGCCATGCTATCCCTCGGATAGCCCATGCCGACCGAGGCCGAGGCTGAGGGATTGCGCACCATTACCAACCCGATGTGGTTCGCTTTTCGGACAGCCCTAGACATGCCTAGGACGGAGTTGAAATGCAGCAGTTGTGTTGCAGGCATAACGCCACATCGATGGTGGCCATCGTCGGTCAAGACGCCTCTCTCTGAGGCTGACGCTGGGCGCGGCTTGAACCAGAATGCCGGTCGCCGAACCCTTGCACACTAGCCCTCACGAGCTGCCTGGATAGGAAAGCGCGTCCGTCGCTGCCCTTGCCCTTTCCATTGTGGCTGAAAGTGCGAGATTAAGACCAGTGTGTACCCCCGGCTGACAGGAGGCACATTGGAGGCGCACCTTCTCTGATCACTAATCTGCGCACCACTTTTGACGTCTGCCATGCCGAGCTACTGCACGTCGAGCTTCTCTCCGTTGCCATTCCTTTGTCCGAGAACTACCTTGGCAGCGCTCAAGATAAGAAAGATCACATGCACTGGGTAAAGGATTGAGGCTCTGGGGAAAAACAGAAAACCCCGGGGCGAAAAGTTGGTGAGAAAGGCCTGGTAGGGGTGCGCGATGACCTCGTCAACAATCAGCCAAGATGTGGGGCCGACACCGATCCTCTAACGTAGTGAAGCGATGAAATGAACCGTTGCAATGCTCGACGACCTAAATTAGGCCATCCTAGCTCCCCGCGAAATAGCGTAGAGTGAACATGAGCACAGGCCAAGCACTGCCTCAGGGTGCCGCGTTGCTCTGGGCCCGGTGGTTCGGGGCAGCGTGGAGGCGGCAGGGATTGTGTGGGTAATGTGTACAGGGGACTAGGATATTAAACGTCAAAAGTGCGGAGCCCTTCAGGGATCTCCAACTACACTTTTTCCCACAGAAAATCCTGCCAAATCAATGTATCGCAGACCCCCCTGGAGGGCTCCGCACTCTTAACGTTTAATATCCTAGTCCCCTGTAGGGCACGTGCGGCTTGGCAGCTCGGTTGAGCTTTCGCGTTCCAGCTCGTTGCACTCGGGGCTGAACTAGCCTCCAATGGTTGACCAATGAGCACGAGCAGGTGCCTCGGAGGCTGTCCCGACTGCAGTGCCCATCACACCCCTTCGCTTCCCTCCTGACTCGTCCCCTTGCCTTTGATGGCGAGGGCGGCCATCGAGATCGGTGGTCCTAGTCGGCCTTCCCCCCACTCTTCTTTGACGGGAACGAGAGTACGAGGGTCAACCGAGATGGACGGACGTCAAGATCTGGGAAACTCCAAAACCTTATGCTGCCGTGGTCTGATGTCAGATGCCACGACCGTGCGATAGCGCAGGAGACGTACTGACAGGTTCGGGACAAGCCGTTGCCGCCGGCTTCGTCAGTCCACAGAGACCGCTGAACTGGGTCTGGCGCGCTAAGATGAGAATCGGGCCTTTGTATGGTCTAGAGCACGGCCGACATTGATGGCGGTCTGCCAACTCAGGTGCTAGCAGGTCAACTTAGACCGAGAGGAGGATCGTCGTCTTCCGAAAACAAAAAAAGAAAAGAAAAGAAAAAAAACTTGAGGAAAGAAAAAAACTCGTGAACGACTTGACCACCTCGGCCAGGCAGATGGAGCGGTGGGCGTCCCCTTCCGCGTCCTCCATTCATTCTCCCTGGCCAGCGATTACATTAGGAGCATCGTCACCCAATCTCTTATCACCACAGGCCCAGCAGGCGACTCGGGTCTTGGGATGAGGTTTGCGCTAACTATGTGTGCCCGACTCCGCGCGCACCACGCCCAGGTGATGGCCATTGTCCTTCGGACAGGGAGAGCCATTGTCCTTCGGATAGCAGAGAGCCATTCCACGATCCATATACCCTCCCGGCGCTCGCCGTCATGTTGGCTGCAATCCTCCTTCACAGTCGACTTTCCTATAAATAAATACTAGATGCCACGCCGCCGGATATAGGTACACACTTTTGGGGGCGCGTGACGAACTCGTCCATGTTAGGTATACAAGTCGTTGCGGTGGCGTAGCTGTTGCTCCAGGTTGAGGCGAGGACAGTGATGAAGGACGTGATAAGAATGGGTGTGTCGGCGCTAACAACTGACGTGCCGGCCGGGCTACTGCTGAGCGTCACGATATTTTGTGTGGCCTGCTTGTCCGATTGGAGTGCACCAACCGAGAACAAAAAACGAGCCACCCAACCAAAATAGGGGCACATTTCAAAAAGCTGTTTATCAACAACAAAAAATAAAAATTAACTGCTATTCCTGTGCAATTTAATGGGCAGTCAAGGCCCCAGGTAATAGATGCTTTTTTAGGCGTAGAATGGTGCTGAGGCATCGCGAATTAGGTTTGTTTTGATTGAGACTGAGCTTTCTGCTATAGAGTTTGTATGGGGGAAGTGGCTCGGTTGTTTTTTTTTTCGGTTGGTGGGGTGTTGCCGGAGTACTGGAGGCGGGGTCGAACCGGGAATCCGTGCTGAGCGTGTAGGTGCAGCGGCGTACTTCCATTTTCGGGCTCTCCCGGGAGCTGACTAATCCCCTTCGCCCGGCTCGCCCTGGGAAGAAAGCGGGGGCAGCCGTTGTGGTTGCACAGCATGGTGGTATCGAGGAATTTGGGTGGTTGAGTGGACGGTTCCCCCCTTCTTGGCGAGACTAGCGATTGTCTCTTACAGGCTGGAAATGTCTCGATAGCATCCACCAGGCAACCATCCACTCCACCGGCTTTTTTTTCCTCCGAACTCTGGAATGCGAGGGCTCTTCCAGTCTTTATGATGCCTTGGATGGGGCACATATATATATCGCGGCCTGGGATGCGCAGCTTGGATGTTGTGGTTTGAGGTGTTACTCCTCGCATGCCACAGCAGGAATCGCAGTGACGCGAGAGCAGACGCCAATCGCAAGACAAAATGGTGCGCTCCTTTGTGCCACTGGCCGTTTGGACCACCCTGCTCGGTGCCGGTTGGACGGTTGCGAAACCTCCCAAGGCGCACACGGACGACAATGCGACCTATGATTACGTGAGGACCACCCTGCTCAGCTCGGTCGAGACTTGGCGCGTTGGCTAACAAACGTCGAACCTCATGGCACGTAGATCATTGTCGGCGGCGGAACAGCGGGCGCGGCCCTAGCCACGCGCCTAAGCCAGGGTCTCCCGAGCGCGTCAATCTTGCTTCTGGAAGCTGGGCCCGCCGAACCGGACGACACGATCAACATCCCCGGGTTCGGAGGCCGCTCCTGGGGCGGCCGGTTCGACTGGAACCTCACCTCGGTCGAACAGGCAGAGCTCGGCGGCCGCAAGATCACCCACCCCCGGGGCCGCATCCTCGGGGGCAGTTCGGCCCTAAACCTGATGGTGTGGGACCACGGCAGCGTCCAGGAGTACGACGCCTGGGAGGAGCTCGGGAACCCGGGCTGGAACTGGGGCTCCATGTACCCGGCCATGCTGCGTGCCCACAACTTCACCAGGTTCCCGGGCACCTACGGCGACGAGGGCGTGGGCTTCGGCGGCCCCGTCCAGACCACCATCCCCCCCACGCAGCCCGAGAGCATGCGGCTCTTCTTCGCCCAGACCTTCAACGCCGCCGGCGTGCCGTCCAACCCCGAGTCGCTCGGCGGCAACCCCATCGGCGCCATGCGCCAGCCCAGAACCATCGACGCCCGCACCTGGACCCGCTCCACCAGCGCGAGCGGCTACCTGCCGCTCGCGGGGCCGAACCTCAAAGTGCAGGCCAACTCGCCCGTCGCCAAGCTGGACCTGCGCCGGCGCGGCGCGGCGGGTCCGCGCGCC